TATATCATTTGTACAAAAATAGTATTTTCCAAGTGACATGTATATCATTTGTATAAAAGATTTGATATCTGAAGACACTGGTAGTGTCTCGGCGCTGAATTACGCGCAGCGACACTGCTATGGCTATTTTACGCAAGCTGACGAGTTGCGCCAGATCGAGATTATTGGATCTCAAGAGCTGAACCGATCAAGTTCTAAGTGTGCTCAATCGATTGCAACGACCGCTCGAGATATACAGGGTATCTCTTAAGATGGGCCACATTGGGAATAGAGAATGGATCAAAGGGAACAAAAAATTCTTATACCATTTTGAGATATTCGCTGTAGTTTTTGAATTAGAAAAGGAAACGTCTAAGCCAATATGCGGTTAAGTTGCGTCGCGCGAATCCATAGAACGGTCCACTCGAGCAGCGGCGATGGTGTGCAGGGAGGGGGAAGGAGCGCTTCGTCGCCTCAGCACAGCCTGGCATGGTGGTGTGTTTCGTCGCATCGCGTCTACACTATCCAAAAATATTATTTTAGTTGAAGTTTTTCTTACACATTTCGTATCATTATAAATCACGTTATTTAGCATGATTAAATAAAATTATTTTAATACAATTATAGTAAGAGTTCAACCTATCGTGTGGAATTATGCATTGTGGAATACACATTTTCTGATAGGTTGAAATTCTTATTCTCTGTTCTCTGTTCCTTTTATTGTGTGGAACCCCTTATTTTTGTATAATGACGTATTTGACTGGGATTCTTTTTCACATATTTCTTGCCGTTTAACAAGTTTAATTGTACATTTTAGAAACGTTCTTAAATTTTATTAATTTTTAATGTTCACTGATGAATAAAATTTAAATTTTCTGTAACTGAAAAGATTACTATAATTGTTAAAACATATTTAATAGTGTTAAATAACGTGATTTATAATGATAAGAAATGTGTAAGAAAAACTTCAGCTAAAATAACATTTTTGAATAGTATAGGCGCGATGCAACGAAATACATAGAACCGTCATGCCAGGCGACGAAGCGCTCCTTCCCCCTTCCTGCACGCCGCCGCCGCCACCGCCGCTCGAGTGTGGGCCCTCCTACGAATTCGCGCGACGCGGCTTAACCGCATATTGGCTTAGACCTTTCCTTTTTTAATTCAAAAACTATAGCGAGTATCTCAAAATAGTATAAGAATTTTTTGTTCCCTTTGATCTATTCTCCGTCCCCAATGTAACCCCGACCCATCTTAAGAGATATCCTGTATAATGAAAGTGTTTTTATTTTTTCTCTACGTGCTCTACGAACGGAGATATTGCGATGCGAAATACAAATCTAAAACTTTTATTAAGAAAAAATTTTATTAAGAAATGTCGTCATCGTCGTAACCGCCGCTACAAAGTGGAGGTAATGTTCATTTGGAATTTTTGGCGCAAAAGTGGCACTAGCAATGCATGGTCACATCATATATGATGTGACCAGCGAGCGCTGCAAGTGCTGCGCCTATCATATTTCAACCTATCATATTCCAATTCGATTTCTGATGTTAAAATTATTTATTCTTTATTTCTAATTTCTTATTCCTTGTATTGTGCAGGGCCTAACTATGCGCTTATAGAAGATAGTTTTCTCCGTTTAAATCAACTTAATGAGATTAGTTTTTATGAGTATATGTTGTACATATACAGCTGATCACACAAAGGTTGCAATACTTTTTCTTCCAATAGTGCATAAGGGAATCAACTAATCAAAATTATTCTTTTCTATAAAATGAGAGAAAAGGAAAGATTCTGATCGCTATCCGGTTCTAATGAAAATGATTTGGAAGGCTTTTGTGACTGATCAGCGCTAATTGCGCATTCCAGAAATTCCGCTCCATGGGACATAGGAAAACATATTTTAACAGAACAGAATCGGCTGAATGAAGCCACGACCAATCACGAGCAGTCCGCTCACCGAGTGATAGTTCTTATTTATAGATCCATGAGTAAGAATTAATCACTCGGAGAACTAGCTCCGTTCCGAAATTCATTGAAAAAAGTTGCAATCTTTCTGTGACCGGTTGTAAACGCAAGCATCGGCGGAATCTGCAAAAAAAATAACGCCGCAGCACAAACTTTTTGACGCATAACGCATAGTACATAAGCGAATCAATTCATCAGAATCTTTCTTGTTCTCCCATTTTATAGAAAAGAATTTCGATTAATTGATTTTTCCCTTATGCACTATTATGCAAGAGTCTATGCTGCGGCCAATAAATTTGTGCAACAGAAAACGACAGAATCGGCAGAATGAAGCCACGACCAATCACAAACGTTCCGCATCCTATGGGAGCGCACTCTGAGGATGCGGTCCCATGGTGCGGAATTGGCGGATCGCTTGTGATTGGTCGTCACTTCATTCAGCCGATTTCGTTTCGCTAAAATATGTTTTCCTATATATGTCCCATGGAGCGGAATTTCCGGAATGCGCAATTAGCGCTGACCAGAGCCTTCCTGTAGATCACGTTTCATTAGATCCACCGGAATAGCATTTGTCATTGGCTCGTATTGATTGCGCATCTGCAAGTTCTGCTCCATGGGACATACGAAACTAAACTCCTGCGGATCGGAAATCACACATACAGAGACATTGCACTGTCTTCATTTTGTGTACCCATTTTGATTTTGATTTACAATATATTTTCGCCTTTCTGTGTACTATATGTTTTAAAAACAAATTCTCTGCTTCATAAACACAAATTCACTATTAATGCAAAGAATTTGTGTGTTTAAAGCAGTGGATTTTTGTTTTTAAAGCAGTGAATATATTTTTAAAGTGAATTTGTATAAAGCAGAACATACATAGCGCTATATTGAATCGGATGACAGACATATTAATCCCTAAAGTCTCCAACTTTAATGCTTAATAACTCGCTTCACAAAGCCGACCGCCGCGTTTTTTTTTGCCAGATTCTTCCATTTTGAATAAAAATGCTTCGAATGAGTATATTTTATTAAGATTTTATTTTAAATAATATTATGTGAATAATTAAATATGTTGAACTTTAAATTCCAAAATAAATAACAATACTGGATACATGGCAGAAATCTATTGTCTCCTCTCTACAGATTACAAAGTTAGATTCAATATTTTTTTGAAATGCTAGAAAACGAGCGTTTCAGCGTCGCATGAAAAGGTCGCAACCTAATACATAGAAAGATAAAGGTAAATCAGCCTTAGGGTCTAAGCACAAGAATTGTCGTAACACTTACTTATGCCTGTTTTACAATAGAGTTGCAAATCGTAAGCCGTAAGAAATTGGCCAATTACGATTAAATGTGAGAAGAATAATCAACTATGACTGATTAATTTCTTACGGCTTATCATTTACAACTCTATTGTAAAACTAAGACTTAAAGTGTAACGTAAGTAACGCACAAGTTTTCACGTATAATGTACAACTTATTGCCACGTCTCCAAGAGATGGCAATAAATCGTACGTCATACGCCAAAGCTTGTGCGTTACTTATGTCTAAAACTTAAGTCTCTAAGTAAGTGTTATGACAATTCTTGTGTTCAGATCCTTAGAGACATAAGTTATATCAATCTGAAGCTTATATTTTGAAATCAACGCTTCATATTGGCTGTTGCAACAAACTTGCGATCAACTTGCAACTAATGTAGAACCGGCTTAAGAGACGGCAATAAATCGTACGCCAAAACTTGTGCGTTACTAACTTATGTCTATAACTTATGTCTTTTTAAGGATCTTCTAACACTTACTTAGAGATTTAAGTTCTAGATGTAACACACAAGCAATAAGTTACAACATCATACGTGAAAACTTGTGCGTTATTTATGTTACAATTTAAGTTTAAGTAAGTGTTACGACAATTCTTGTGCTCAGATCCTTATGTGGAAGTCTTCTTGAAGAGTAAGTTCCCTCAAGCATTCTTAATTCTTCTCTAGCATTAATTCATATTGCATTACATAAATGTCAAAATTAATAATTATGTGAATGGTATATGTAGTGTAAATTATTTCAGTTCTAATATGTCATTTATTCATACAGAAATGAAGCTGATGTTCAAAGCTTAAATGATAGTTTAAATGAAATTTAAATGAAGATGATTTATCCGATTGGAACTTTTACTCAAGAGGTACAAGATTTAGGAAATCGGTTAAGATTAGTGATTATGGCACAGAAGAATCAAGATTATTAATCAAATTTTTAAGGATTTCAATCCAAAAATAGAACACGGTAAAATATGATACGAAAAATATATTTAATTATTGCATTTACATATTGCAAACAAAGTAACATTTTATAGAAATTTAATGTTGTTATTTGATAACAATTTTCTTAAATAATATAATATAGGATTATAAACCACTCAAGTTATTATGTGAGTTAAAACTATTTTTATCAACATCTAAATTTTGTACAGACGTTTCGACTCTTATCGGGTCATTTTTAATGTTAAATAATAAATTTAAAAAAATTGTTATCGGTAATTACGCGAGATGTTCACAAATTAAAATATAAAAAGTGCATGTTGTACTTGCATGTTGACAAAAGAAATACAGTAGGAAACAGCTTAGATGCAAACAGCTTCACATCGGAACTTGATGTTAGTCGAATTTATAAGTCACACAATCATATAAGGTCTATTATAGTGAATTTTTTCTCAAATATACAATAGGTTGATACAATGAATTCAATGTAAAAAAAATGTATATATGCTTCATGTTCCTTTTACAACTACTGATTAAAATTGATGAAAGTTAGATCGTCTTAATTAATTGAAAAAATTGAATACTAAATGCAATTATAAAATTCAGCGATATCACAAAGATTCTTAAAACTGTAGAACTCTGAGATATAATGCCAGAACATTAATGCTGAATTTTAAATTGTTATTCTTTGAATTAAAAAAATTTTCTTGTTTAAATTGGCATGGTCCTGTTCATCGATTATTCTGCTTATATTGTCCTGTCTATTTTATACAGAGATGAAAGCCATATTTCTACTATTAAATACTACAATTACCGTTCCTGTAGACGATACAACGGCCAAACAACAAGGTTAACATCAAGGGATCATACATTGCGTAAAAAAGCAAGAATAGAATTATAGAACGAACTGAAAGAATAGAAAAAGTCAATAAAACAAACTCTACGGAAATAAAACCGCAAGTACATGCGCTTGAGAAGAATACGGTATTTATATGTAATATGTTTCCATACATTTTTATTATACTACTATTTATTAAAATTATATATATATATATATATATATATGTATATATTTATTTATACAAAGTTTGTTCGCGTTGCATGTTTCAACAACCGGTAAAAAACTTTTCGTACATTAATATGTATAAATATTTATAAATACTTATAATCATATACGATATCCATACGATGTCCATATATATTCAAATATCCCTCTTGTTTTTAAAATTACTTTTTAATGTAATACAAAACCTTTTTAAAGAAGATAAAAAAGACGCTAACAATACATGCTTCTCGAATAAAACCTAAGTATCCAATCTAATTAATAGTAGTTTTAATTTTTTTTCAAGGACATCCATATTGGAGGTCTTCTTATTTCAACCCAAGTAATGGCAACTTTGATTCTCTGAATTATTTATAATTCTCAAAAATTATTACTCGAAAAAAGTGAATATATCCAATAAAAAATTAAAACCCAGATGCTACAATCTTAACTAATCAAGTTCTATCAAATTAAAAAATAAAACATAAATGATATCTCTTGTTATTTACTTAATTCTAGTATATGTATCTTCATATAAAAGATTTGATATCAATAAAATTGATATCTTCAAAATTTTATAATATTTGTAAAAAAGATTTGATATCAACAATTGGCGCCAAGTTAAATTCCATATCCATCGGATATCAAATTATATAAATAATATTAACTTTAATGATATGCATCATTCTTAAAAGATTTGATATCAAGCGTAAAGTTAAATCCCGTTTCTTTATACCATGCTAAATTAAATAAATAATGAATATTAATCTAATGGTATCATATGTATCGTTTGTATAAAAGAATTGATATCAACAACTATGTGCGCCAAATTAAATTTTATTATCAAAATAAAAAGTAAAACCTAAACGATGTTATTTTTATTATTACCATATTTACTTAATCCAAATGACATCATTTTTAATTTTTATGCAATGAAACTTCAGCATACATATATTTTATTGAAAGATCTATATATTCCAATCCAAATTAAATTCCTCTTAAATGAAATTATTATCACAATTCATTCAAAGACATTTTCTCTTCCAACTAAAGTAGTGGTTATTTAATTCTCCTTCAAATTATTATACAAAACATTATCATAAAATTGCGTTACCTTGCTCAATTTAAGTGTTATCACAAAAAATTAAAGTGTTAACCGTATAAAACAAAAAAATTTAAATAGAAAAATTTTTCATGCCATTATTTAGGTTGAAATAAGAATATCCTTAAAGAAAAATTAAAATTACTATTAATTGGGTTGGATACTTAGTATTATATATAAAAAGTCGGTTTCAATTAAGCCGAGTTAATTGGTGATTAATTATCAACCATAAGTGGTCAATTCTACTAAACAGCAAACAGAAACACAATTTGTCAGTTCCATGACCAATTAAGTAATTGACGTTGGTAAAACTGGCCCAAATGATCAATAACTGCTAAACTTAATTTTAAGAAGTATATACTTTCAAAAATGATATATAGTATTTAAGTTGCACTAATTGTAACTCTTTTTTAAAATTTCAAGATTTCATAACTTTTAATTTAAAAATAGAATTCAAGTATGTACCTATACAAAATTTATCCTGTTTTACGCTAAATGTGATAGTAATTCTATTTAATTTATATTTAATTCTCCTTTAAAATGTTATATCAAAAAATTGCGTTATCTTATTTAACTAAGGGTTCTCATAAAGAATTAAGGATGTAACAAAATAAAAAATTTTTTATGAAATAAAAAATACTTTATGTGAAAAAACTTGACGCTGCTCAATTAAGTTAAGAAAATCATCAATTTAATCTGAATGTTAGACTGAGTAAAAACAAATTATATTTCAGCAGAATCAGGCTGCTCCTCGCTCTAATGAAGTGGATTGCAAGATTCACGACATGTTGACATTCCAATGGATCTGGGCACAGAGAAAACCCACGAAACGGATAATCTTTATATAGAAAGCACCCATGGAAGCCTCAAGAATATTAATAAATTATATTGTTTCATATGAAGATTACTCGAGTTCAGTTCTTCTGTATTATGCGCAAACAAATTTAAATACCAAATAAATTAAATCTTATGTCTGATTGACATATATCTAATATTAATACGCACGACTATATAACTCATTCGTATATATATTAATGCCTATTTCTTTTATACGTAATTGAAATCGTGCAGTATAATTTATTCGTACATGTACATCCTGTGTTTATCAAGGGACAATGAGCGTGTGCGTGCGTGCGTGCGTGCGTGCGTGTGCGCGCGCGCGCGTGTGTGTGTGTATGCGTGCTTGCGTGCATTGTTATTTTAACTCACAATGGCTTTTCCTGTTTTCCTAATTTGGTTTTTAGTAGTGTCAAGTTTTTTTACATAAAGTATTTCATTAAAATTTTTTTATTTTGTATCGTTACGTCCTTAATTTTTTATAATTACTCTTAGGTTGAGTAAGATAACGCAATTTTGTGATATATAATAACATTTTAAAGGAAGATTAAATAGTTACTATCATGGCGTAGGTAAGGTAGTTACTATCTTGGCATGGAATAAAATAAATTTTGTACAGGTATATACTTGAGTTCTTTAAATTAAACGTTACGACATATCTTGAAATTTTATATTCAGAATGTGCACTGGTGCGCATCAATTCTGCCAAAATGCTATTAATATCAGTATACTTCCTGATAAAGGTTGCGTTCGGAAACATCACTCGTTAGTGTGTTTCCGTGACTTCAGGAGAAGTAATGGGGGTGGGGGGGAGGGTATCGTGTGCCTTTGGATGGTGAGTGTTCCCGAACGGCTTCCATGTGGCGTGTATGTTATCTCAATTCCATCTCACCACTCACATTTAACTCTAACCTCGAGCTAAACAATTCAATGGTGAAGAAAGGCGGTGGAATGATTGTAAAGAGAAACAACGGCAATATATGATTGTAAAAAGAAAGGAATATAAGTCATTCTTTCCAAATTTCGAATTTTGATTGGTCGATTCCCTTATGCACTATGCAAGTCTGTGCTGCAGCCATAACACATCAGCTCATACCGACTATTCTTGCTTTTCACATGAATGGTTTTAGTGGCACTTGGTGCGACTCTTTCGATATTTCTGAACGATCTTACACTAGTGTACACCGAATACACACGAGTATTTCCGAACTGGTGTTGGCACACCAGTGTGTGTTTCCAACGCAGCCAAAATAAACAAAAGTGTACAAAATGTTGGCATTAGCAATGGATCACGATACAGTAATAATTTGCAAATTCTTTGGCACCTCTGAAGAAGGTACCTTTAATAGGCATCTACTGTGTTAATCTCAAACGCTAACTTGCATTCAGTATTGGTTATTGGAAAGCAGAAAATCTACTTTCCTTATGCTTTCTTTATCCTAAATAACAACTTCCTGATTCACTAGTTACCTTATCACCGACTGGAGTAAGACACAAGCCTGGAAATCGTGCACTCAATCGTAGGATCTTTATCAAACCGTGTCTTGCAAGTTTTTTTCCAGAGCATTTCTTGGGATCGCAATGCTCCATGTCCCACATAGCCATGGGGAAGTTAATCGATTGTTCATTGACTTCTGCAAATTCAATCGATTATTACAGAATTTAAATTCGGCAAGATGTATTTCGCCTAACCTGCCTTGTTATCTTTGTCGGATCCTTCGTCATCTCTCTTCCGATAATATTTCTGTTTTTTGCTGAGGACATGTTGAGGTCTTCTTTCTAACAATTTGTTTTTGTTTTTTTTACGTCTTAACATGTTTTTTACTCAACAATGATGAGGGCGTCGATCACATAAGCTTCTTTCTAAAGAAGAAATGTGAAAAATCAAAATTTTTATGTACATATACCAGAGAAAAATGTACATATGCCTGAGAGAGGACATGCCGACCTAAAACCTATAATCGCGCACTACTGCTCCCTGACAAAGTGGATGAAAACTACCATAGCTCTGATGGTAATACGATCATTTTTCTGAGGATAATACGTCTACTTTCCAATTCCAGATGATAATTGGAGTTGATACTTGTTCATATAATTGTGTTACATTCACAAATTGTGCATCAGAAATATTCATCTTTGCAATCTTACATGCGCGTGATGTTTATTTTACTTAAAAAGAATTAATATTAAGGTTATATTATATTTTTATAAATGTGTTAATATTTATATTTTAAATAAGCTGTGTACATATGAATTAAATTATATTCCAAGCACTTTATTTCTATTAAACACATTTTTATAATTTATTTACTTTATTTATAATTATTTTCTTATTACAACACTAAAAATACAATGACAAAATTAATCAAAACTTTTTTTATATAAGTACTTTAAGTATTTAAAATGCAATTGTAAGTTTCATTGCGACACAATTAGATGTTTAATAAAATAAGGAAACAATATATTTTATTAATAATAACATACATTAAAAAAACAGCTGATAAGCCAAGTTGATTAATTACAAATATGCTTGTAATTATAAATCTTTATACAAAAAAATTTAAACAATGTCAAAAGTTTCAATCTGAATTTGTTTATTTACAAAACAATATAACCATGCAATTTTTGTATCTAAAGTTGCAACGTTACTCTATCGAGTGATATAAATGTCAGTTTAAAAAAAAATAGAATATATATGCATTTAAGCTAAAAATATAATATTTCTTTCTATAATTATTGTGCAATGATTACATTATTGTGCAATGCATTTTCGGACCCTATTTCTTATTTTATATTTTAAATAATTTCTTGTGTCCTATTCCTTATTTAATATTTTAAATATAATTTATATTTAAAAATAATAAAATAATAAATAATAAAAATAATATTATAATATAATAAATTTATTTTGTTTTGTATTTTTTATTTCAAA